GGGTGGGAGTGAGAGAGGAGGAGAAAGAGAGGAAGAGCGCTCACCACTCTTCCTTCTGTAAGAGCCCCCTCCTCCTTTTTACACACACACACACACACTGGCAAACACACACACACACAAACACACTCTCTCACCCAGTGAGTGGAGTAGTCGCCGCAGCCTGCAGTAAAATGACAAATAACGGTGCTGGAAGACGATGCGCGCACGTGCCGCCGGTAAACAGACGCCCTAATTCTCCTCTTCCCTCTCCTCCTCAAGCCGCGGCACCGCTCATAACTGCTGGCTCCTTCTGTCCTCCTCTGCTCTGTTCAGTTTATTGTTTTCTATTTGGCCAGTGATACATGTTTTTATTGCTGTTTCCGAAAGCTACTCTGATCTACGCGTGTGCTTGGCTCGGTTCACGGTGCGCCCTGACGCAGAGTCTCGGCTCAGCCGTTTAGAAGACCGGGAACGCTCTCTGTCGCCTCCTCAAACTGACTCCTCTGTCTGTTCTGTTTGCAGTAGTTGACCATGCTCACTTAAACACACCCACTCCTCCGCTCCTGCGTTTTGTCGTGCCGGTTTGTCACGCCGTTGTCAGTCAGTAAGTCAGACTGCGCTCCCCCCCTGCCCACTAACTGTGAGTGAGGACGACGTGCTCGGCGGCAATTTGGCCGTTACAAGCGAACCTCTCTCTCTGGTCGGCAAAATGGAGCTGGGGGACTGATTGGGGTGGACGGTGAGGGATCTGCAGCTCCAAACCGCTTTCCCTTCCTGCCCATGGCTCCATATACCTGCAGTGCTGCAGAGAAAAGCGCCCCTTCCCCCACTCTGCATTATGACAAATCAAGGCAGGCAGGCAGCTGTGCCATTAGCACATCATAGCACAGTGAGTCTTCCATGGGAGAACAAACTCACGGAGCTGTACTAATACTGTGGAACACGTACACGTACACGTACACATACACACACCATTAGGACCGGGTGAGTGCCGCGGGTTAAGTCTACGGTTTGACGATAGAGTAGATTTCACAGCTCAATACAGCGTGATTTTTTTAATTTTTTTTTTTGCCGTGCACGACCACATAAAACACACTCCACGTTTCCTCTGTCACGCTTCAACACATCTGACATTATCGACGTGTGTAGGTGATTACAGTCTGCCCTACTTCTGAAATAACTTATGACGTCTGGATCCCACAGTAGGAGTTCACTGTCCGGGAGTAAACACGAGTGCCCACGTCGCTGTCCACAGTGTGGTGGTGCTGAAAGTGCTGAACCAAAGCGAACGGACGCGAGGAGCGTTTTGTGCGTTTTCTCCGTGTGACTGACACGTGTTCATTTTCCATACATTTTTTATATCATCTACTTGGGAACACGGTTATTTCTAAGCCACATCAATCTCAATGCTAGCCAACATTTATATTATTTCAGGTTTTAAACGGTACCCGATTTTCCCCACATTTTTACACAACGTGTCAAGCCGTGACTCTCACTCGGACATATTTATCGGCAACAGTTGCACCAAAACGCAGAAATCTAAACAGGGCTCCAACAGAATTAATCGCGGTCATTTTCGTTGACAGCAAATATAATTTAGTCCTCTTTCAAATGTCAACTACAATAATGGTGTGTTTCCCCCCTATCAAATCATCAGGAATGTCATAGGATGTAAGGAGTTAATATAAGTAAGGTAATAGGGTGGGCTGTGTTTTCCATGAGACAGCCAACTCCTCCTTAACTGGTTCTGTGAATGGGCTAGTGAGGCAACAGGGTATGAATGGCGGAGTGATCCACCGGTTCTGCTGTGCATGGAGCAGCCAGCTCTCGATTACTCAGCCCCCACTCCCTCATGAGCCGTCTGCAATGCAGCTGTCCTGTGAGCCTGCGTTTCACAATGCCCTACTTTATCCTGTCAAGGCTCAAGTACTGCAGCAATTCTTCACCATCAGCACGTACACACACATATACAAATATTTCTTTAATTAGACCAAACGTGGGCATCTACGTCTTCTGACCTACATTAAAACCTCCGAGAGGTTGACGATTCCAGCTTTTACGACTCTTAACATACTTTAACATGAATTATTAGCTTCATTGAGAAAGCCATTAGGCATGGACATTTGGCCATTAACAAATAAGTCATCTGCAGCTTCAGGGTGTGATCTGTAATACATTGACATATCACATAATCTTCACCTTGCTCAGCAGAAAGTAGTTCATCTTTTTTAAATACACAATATTAGATTATCTGTGCAATAGGTGTCTGTATCGACAAGAATCTGTCGATACAATACATGTCACGACACAAAGGCAACAAAGCAATATATTGAGATGTACTGTGATACTACAGGCACGATGATATATTGATATTTTAACAATTTAACTGTAGGAAAGCTGTCAGCATTGTACAAACAGGATGCTGTTACATGTAACATCAAGTTACTAAACTTGGAACAGAGAGATCTACATGTTTAATCCCAAGAGAAGAAATAAAAGCAAAATAAATGGAACCAATGGCATGAATATTTGCATGTTAACTGTTAATTTATAAAAATCGATAAAGTGCTGTAGAATATCAATGTGGTATTGTGAAACAAAATATCTGATGTTTCACTGTATCAATATTTTCTTACACCCCTAGTACAATATTCTGTTATTACACAATTTTATTAACATGTGGCAATAATTCAATATTATCTGTGCAATATTTTTGTCCATCTAAAAACATCCTGGGTTTTTGCAATATTTTATTTACCATACATAATTTTACTAACATTGTGGAAATAGCTCAATATTATCTGTGCAGTATTTTTGTCCATCTAAAAACATCCTGGTCAATAATTTTGAAATAGTTACATTGACTGCCAGGGTATCTTTTTATCGTTTTTGTCCTTCACAGGCCACTGTGACATAACTTGTATATTGGGAACCAAGTCTGCTCACATGAGCTGCTAAATCTGAAAGTCTATTCCTAATTGGTAAGTTTGTTAAGTGTGCAGCTTAGTGTAAAGTAGGACGAGCTGGAGCAACACTTTCCACAAGTGGATGTTTTCTAATTACACTAACACCGTGCTCCACAACAGAACATTGATTTCAGAGCAGGAGGAGAAACGCTCAGTTGACTCAGCCTCCAGAGAAACATTTTGCATTAAAGTGCTTCAACAACAGATGTGGTCATCTAAAGATCATCTAACTTATTTATTTCAGTATATATGATGTTTAATTAATGACATCGTAAACTTTCTGAGTAACTTCCAAACACATTTTTTATCCAACCTGACATTGTATTCGCACTGCTTCATATTAATATTTGATGTCATTCTATTTTAAAAGGATGAGAAATTTGGCCCAGTTTCACAGGGATAATGACGGTGTCTCAGTGAATGATTGTGAACGCTATTATTTAATATAAAAACAAGTTGTAACAATTCAACCAATCACCCAACTTCCCTAAAAGGAAGCTTAAAGCTTTGTCAGCTCAAAGACGTCGGGTTTTACCTTGTTAACTTAAATATATGTATAGGAGGTACAAATTCACAGATTTAACAGTGACCTAGTGTACATCAGTGGTTCTCAAAGTGTGGGCTGCCTCCCCCCATGGAGTATGTGGTGCAGTAGGTCAAACTGATTAAATTATTTCTATTTTTATTTGTGCCATTGTGAGAAGAAATTCACTAAAGTGTACTTTAGTTTCCTTATTTTTGTAAAACTAACATTGTTTTAGTTCTACTTTTCCCCAGATGACCAAACAGTTGATCTCATCAGACATTGTTTTCCCACATGCAAGCATTTGCAATTTGTTAAAATCACAAGAAACTTATATCAACCACAACAGCTTTGCAACCTGTTGCCTGTCCAAATGTTTTTCCTCCTAACTTTGTTATCTGCTTTGGGCACTTGACTCTGTTAAATGTCAGTGTTGTGCTGTATCTTATGTACTTCATACCGCTTTTCATTGTGTTCTGTAACAATTCATTGCCTCCTTCAGTAGTATTTCTTGGAAAGAGCAACTGTTATTGCTTTGCAAGCTTGGCATCGTTTGCAAAGACGCAACTCCCAGTAAATGGCAAGAAATGCCAACAACAGCTGAATTTTAAAGCAAAGTCAGTCAGAGACGCTTTAAATGACGGCAAATGTGAAGTGACCGCTAATTACACTGATGAATGGGTTCTTGAAAATTGAAATGAACAGACTGTAGTTTCTGATAAAGGTTATAAAGGGCCTCACATTGAATGTCTTTTTTTGTTTTAAAACACATTAAAGTGGTGATGTCTTTATGTTTTAACTGAATTAATTTATAATATATATCCAACATTTATGTGAGATATTTTTCTGACGGCTCTTCCAGGACATTCACAAGGTGGTTAGTGTCATTCGTTTATTCCTCATACAGCTTCTACCACTAAATCATTTCCAGGGTCATAGGAACACTGAACCAATCCCAGCAGTCATAGGGCAAGGGTGGGGCTTCACCCTGGACAGGTCCATCACAGGGACACATGAGATAAGATAAGACTTTATTCATCCCACACTGGGGAAATATTGAAACTATTCTATTCACACTCACAATTCACCTAATCCTGCATGTTTATGGAATGTGAGAAAAAAACACTAACCACTTCTGCCACCATGTGGCCTCTTAGACAAAGTTCATTACTGGATATTTTGAGTTTTTTTTCTGTATAAAACCATCCATGAAAACCATCTGCAAACAGAACATCTCTGTCTCACAACAGACAAGGACAAATACGAGCCACTACCACAAGGATTAACAAAGGACCTTGGTGAGCCTGAAGGTCGAGCATCATTGCATGAGATTTTCATAGCATGTAATCAAACAAAATTCAAAAACTTGATGTTGCAAATGTGAAAAATCTAATCAAAAAGAATAAATAAATAAAAACAACTAACAGCTGGTTTAAGTTTAAGTTTAACAGGATGGAGAGAAATAATGTAGTAAGATCTGAATGGTTTAACAGGGGGGAGAGAAATAATGTAGTAAGATCTGAAGGACTTACCATCTAGTGATAGCCAGTCGTGCTGAGATGATGGCAGTGATGGAAGAGCACGGGCCTTGTATTCAAATACCACAGAGTTTGAAATGATCTGGTTACTGACAGCCACTTGAAGAGTGACCAGGCCGGTATCATGTGCTGAAGGCAGAGGAGACATTAAGAAGTTACAGGTAATAAACCATTTTTACTGGTGCTATAAAAAAGATTTATAAAACAGTCAAATACTGCTATCAAAGTAGTTTTTGATAAGAACGTGTTTTTAATTGTATGTAAATTACAATACTTTTGATACAGATTTGCATTGTGTAGTATGGAAACCCATCAAATCTAAAACTAGAACACCTACAAATGCAAAAATTAAAATGTACATCTACCTTTCTTACAGAATAAAGAAAAGCTTTATTTTAAATACTTTCTCAAGTTACTGTGTTTTACCTGGACAGTAGCAACGCAGTACTCCAGGTTGGATGAGAGAAGCTGGAACTGTGATCTGGTCAAACAAGCAGCTGTAGTTTGAACTCGCCTCTTGCCACGGACCAGTGATCAGCACTTTAACTCCACCCTTCAGAATCAGGGAAAAAAGGGGGAAAAACAAAATTCAACAAGTGCTCACTACGCCATCTAGAGTTCAATGAGGAGAGAGCGCCACACCAAACAAACAGCTTCACTGTGCTGATCTCTGCTGCCATCGTGTGGAAATCTCTGTTAGTTACTATAGCAAGGTCCCACGAAATAATTTTATTGAGATACCCTGCTGCCCTCTATTGGTTCGAAGTGGAGACTGTTTTAAATCAGGATCAATTCACAGCTTTTTTTTCCAGTTTATTTCCTCAACTACGCAGTATAGCTCTACTCTGTAAATGTAGCAATATTTAATAATGCTGTTTTTTTCGCTCTGGTTGACCATATTACATACACATAATTAATCAATCGTCAATCATTGCCAAGTCTTTAGATTTCTATGCAGTCTGCAGATGAATGAATGTCTGTGAAGACTCACGTCACTCACCTCAGGGTAGGACCACTCGGGGGAGTAGTCAGTGACCATGAAGAGTCGGCCTGTGGCCTGAAGCATCCCTAGAGCCCCCTGGGCTACAGCTGCTGAAACCACCTCGGCTACATTCATGTAGGACAAGGAGCCCGCGTCCCCAGTGTTCCCCCCTGCTCCAGCTCCTGTGCTCAGAGACTGGGGGCTGCAGCAGGGTTGAAGGCAAAGCTCTGAGCTGTTGTAGCCCGAGCCTCGAGCACCTCCTTCTTCCTGGCCTTGCTGAGGACCCCCTCCAGCTGTGCTCTGACCATCAGAGCTGTGAGATGTCACTAACTGGTGAGTGTACAGTGCTCCACCAGCCGACATGGCGGTTCCACTACTATCCACCGAAATGAAGTCATTGATAAGGTCAGAAAACTGGTTTCCAAAAGATATGTCAAAGTGGTCCAGACTTATCTCCATACCTGCGCCTCCACCCGCTCCGTTACTAGCTCCTCCCCCAAGTCCCTGATGGGTGCTTACAGCGTTATAGAGTCCCTGGACCATGCTTGTGCTCTGGAGAAGAGGCTGCAGCTGTTCCTGCTGCTGGGACCGATTGCTGCCATCACTGTTGTTGTTTCCATTATGAATGGTTACTCCCTCTCCACCTGTCCCTCCCCCACTACCATCTGAAGCCTGTTGCAGGTAGTGCTCTGCACCCCCTCCATCTCCATTCCCACATGCCTGAATGTGATCTCCTGCTTTCAGTAGATTCTCTGCTCCATTCTCATTGGCCTGAGCTGATGTCACGCTGCCAGGTTGCTCTAGACCTACCACCTCCTCGTGTTCATTGCCAAGTCCTTGGAAGGTCCCCTGATACTGGAGCAGCTGGAGAGAACCAGTCTGGACAGGACCATCAGTGGTTGAGCCTCCATTGCAGTTGGCCCTGTGCTGGGTCTGGTGGCCCTGGTGGTGAGGATGGAGGTGACCATTGCTGCCAGGAGAGTCTGTCTTCACCACCTGAAGCCCCATGTAAGCGCTAGAGTCATGGGAGTTGTGCTCCATCAAATGTGTTTTCTGGCCCATGGTGGGCCTGCCCTGCTGAGTGTGGCTCGTCTGAGAGGCCTCCTGGAGGAAGAAGCTGGGTGAACGGTTCTGGTGCTGCATGTGAGGACTGGACATGGCCTGACCATAGCTGACGGTGTTGGTGTTGGAAGTATAGTCTTGCTTGGCCTCTATGGCACTGAAATCCATCTGCTCCAGGGTGGTGCTTGGACTCAGACCCCCACCAGAAGGAAGCAGGGAGCCTGCAGAGGTGAGAGAGAGGCTGCCCTGGCCTGAGCCACCAGATGCCACAGACACTCCACTGCCACAATTGACTACTGCCCCCACCTGGTAGCCACTCTCCTTGGCCAGCTGCTGCTCAAATGACGTGTCCTCTGTCTTTATGTTCTTCACCAAAGCTGCATTGAAGCTGTAGCCGTTATCTGAAATGCTGGGAGAACGTTGAAGACTGCCATTGGTGCTATTACTGCCCACAGAGGAGGAGGAGGTGGAGGATGAATTCCCCTCAGTTTTCATTGCACTGCCTCCATATGTCTGGCCCTGTTTTGGGTTGTTTAGGAAGCAGTCAGGATCAAAGTTCATATTAGTCTCTGGGATCTTGATGGCTCCAGAATCAAGACTGCTGGACAGCACCAGTTCCTCAGACACGCCGGCAGCAGTCAACATGGAAAGGCTGTCTCCTGCTGCGGTCGTCCCAGGTTCCCCCACTCCCCCACTGGGGAAGGCAAACTTGTGACGATCAGAGGTCACAGACAAAACCAGACCCTGCGAGGTGGCATCCGCTCCCATCAGGTGAGTGTTGGGACCCCCGGTGGGAGACATGTTGTAGACGGGGTCTCCTGTGACCTCGGACATGAAGACATTCTGAGACAAGCCAGACATGACGGAGGCCACGTGGCTCATTCCCGTTACCACGGGGCTGTCAGCGATGTCTGGATCACTGTTGAGGCCGCTGCTGATGGAGACCGGGGAATTCTGGGTAGTGTCAGGAACTTCCACCTGGTTGGTGGATGACACCTCTGTGCTGTTCTGGTGCAGCAGCACAGGCTTGTGAACCTTGCCATTGCGTTTCTCTCTGGCACTGTTCCCGCCTCCACCCCCAGAGCCTTTGCCTCCAGCATGTGTACTGTGCTCTGTCTTTCCCTCCGACACATCGTTGTTTTGGACCTCAGAGTGGGCACTACTGTATCCACCGCGGGGGTCCACTTTTGGAGAGATGATGCGATGTTTGGCGCTGTTGCATTTGTGGTGCACACTGCTGCCTGCACCTGTATCAATGAAGAAAAGAGAAGGTTAGGAGGAACAAAAAATAATGACTACTTTTTGCATGGATGATGGAATTTCAACAACATTATCAGAGGAGTATTTGAAGTATTTTGAACGGTGTAGATGGGTATATTTGTTGTAAATGTGTTGTAAATAAATTATTGATTATATTACATATTTTCTTTAATATAAACACCTGAAATCATGTATTTAAAAAGGGTTTTGTTCGAATGGACAAATAGCCAACCATAGATGAGCACTGTTTGTCTCTATATGTGGCCCTGTGACAAACTGACAAACTTTCCAGGGTGTACCACACCCTCCCCTGTTGACAGTTGGGATTAGCACCACCTCCCACCTCCCCACTGCAACACGGCAAAGGAATAAGCGATAGATAATTGCGATTCTATTGAGTGAATAAGATACATCCTGATCACCTTGTCAGTGCTCTAACATATTGATAACATGTACATTTTATTCAAGGTGCCTTTTCACACATCCAATTGATTCACACGTTCAGTCTTGTGATCAATATCGGACCCACTAGCCAGCTTTTACCCAGGGTTCCTGTGCAGAGGCAGTTGTGAGTCCGGGGAGGTGGCTTGGTTTGGTGGCTGTCCAGAATCTGTTGCACTAACTGCTCCACTGAGAAGCCCGAGCTGCTGTTCCCATTGCTGCAAGTCCACTTGATGCCATGAACTGCCAAGAGGAAGGAGGGGGAGACAGAGACGCCAGTCAACCCAAGATAACACTGGTTACCCTGGCTTCTACCAGGATGCTCAAAAAAAAAAAAAAAAAAAAAAAAATTATAAAAAAAATAAACAATCTTCCAAAACACAAAACTTTTAATTTGCCTAAAAAAAAAGCTACATAAATGAAGAATTAAATAAATCCTGCACGCTGGGCCTGTATCAGAATCTGTCAATATTATATGTCTAGATCAGCATCCATGAGGGGCCTGCCCCCTACTTTTGGCACCACCGGGTCAAGGTCATGGGACCAAGAAACTTTAAATAGATGTCTTTTTAACAGACATGTGTATTAGTTATTAAAAAGCCAATAGCATGTACTAATCATGTATTACTACAATTCTAAATAGGGGGATTGGGTTTAACTTATGTTTAATGCATCTGTTAACAAATCAAAGAAAAAACAACTGCCTCATGCCTTCCTACACCCCACCACAGACAGCACACCTTCTACTAACAATCACACACAAGCTCACACTGATGCGAACCAGAAACAACAACAAACATTATGATTTTGTTGTATGAGTTAGTATCAACAAACAAAAATTACAGTTTTATTTCTTTAAAATTACAAATACCTAAGGATCTTCTGCCGGTTTTCTTGTTTCACACCTTACACTAAAATGCTCAGGCGCCTCCTAGTGGAGGTACAACTCACACTGTGCCACAATAATCATGTTACAATATAATTTTATTTAACTTCTATCTTTTCTTTTGCCTCGAAGCTACTCCACGCCTTCCTTCCTTTTCAGTGTCTCAAATGTGCTTTTTTTCCCCCTTGGTCAAGAATCCAGCATTTGTTTTACTTTAGTTTCACCTGAGAGTGATGTCACAGTATGTGTGGTTCACTGTTCATTTTCTCTTTTGCTTCCTTCCCCCACTCATGTGTCACTGTCTGAGGCTGCTCTGTGGCCTCCCTTATGTGACTGCTGATGAGCGTGACAGTAACATCAATCCTTCCACCCTCCACCCTTACCCCCAACTATGACTGTGTTCTGACAGAGACCCTGCGGGGAGGAACATCACCTAGCTGCTTCAAGAACGGTGGCTGCACTGGCGGAAAAATAATCTTTTTTCCCTGTAAAGCTCTACTCCTGGCTTCTGTCACACTTGGCTTGCATCTCCTAATACTTTTCTCCGCTCCACTTGCCTAGAACCCAGCACATCTGATGAGACAGATAGTGGTTTTAGTTGCTATAAAGATTTCAGTGACAGCGATACGTGCTGTTGTATTTAGGCTCTGGACCGGAAAAAAATTAAAATTTCACAGGTGAAACAAATTTGGATTATCACACAAAATAAGTTTTCTAAATAAAAGAGATTAAAATGTAGGGCATGCTATACTTATATCATCCACTAGGTGAAGCTATATGCTAACGTAATAAGTTGGGTTACCAGCTGGCAAGACATCAGACCTGCAGATAGGAATGTACGTTTTAACGAACGTTAATGAACGTAAGTTCATTTTGTATGAGTAACTGTTTGTGCTTTTTAATTTTTTTTTTAGACAAGAGTGTTAACAGTTTCAGCACGAATCTTCCAACTTCTTCGAAACTTAACTAACCGTTAGTTAACAATGGCGTTATCTTTTGTTTTCTGTTTTGAACGCCGGTACAACACTGTATATCCCATTAGTCCACTTTACATTTACTTGTTGTTGATTTAAAAAGCTTCGTCATACACTTACCTTTCTTAAACGAAAGTTGAATAAGTACGACGATATGTATTCCTGCATTAATCGACAAATATAAACGGTCGTGAAATCAGCGCTCATTTCGTCATGTAAACTGAGGAAACAAATAAAGACGAGAGCCAATCAGAGGCGCTTGTTGCTAAAACGGCGGGACATTTAAACGGAAAATGTCTGCGACATGAGTTGTTATACTGCAATATTTGATATCGACCCGTACTATATTAAAGACAGTATTTTTAAGTGTTTAAAATAGAGATACCAGTACAGAAGTCTATTTTTTTTATATAAAACAAAGTGGCTGCATTAAATAATGTTAAATCTGATCAACTTAATATAGAATTAAATAAATATCTTGCACTTGTTCTGGATTTTTAAATTATAAAAATTAAAATTAATCATAGTTTTTAATAAAATAAAAAACATACATTCATCTGCTATTTTAATCTTTTATGACCCAGCAATGTGATTAATCAGTTCAAAAAATGTATTTGTTTGATAGGTTTAATTTCAATAATTATTTCATTAAAAGTGTCAAGCATGGGTGAGAGTTTCTTTGTGGCTTGTCTCCCTTCATCTGAGATTTAAGAAGGTAGAAACAGAGCACCGAGCAAATTAACAACAACATGATTTAATGTAGGATTATCACAGCTGGGAAACATGAGTGGATGAGACCTTACAACGCTTAATCCATGACAAAGTTTGAATAATTTATCCATTAATCTGAGCTGAGTGAGATTTTAAAAAAGCCTGACAACTGTCTGGAGTCTAGAGATTGTCACTGACAGTGATGCTGTTCTGTGTTCATTCCCTGCAAGTGCATCATTCAAACAGAACAAATGAGAGGATGCTGCTGACAAAACATCGTAGCGCCACGAGCATAATAATTGTCAGTTAGGCTGCGTGACAGAGGAGAATCCATTCTCCTAATCTGAATTGACGACAGTGAAGTTGCACATTAAAATAAATACTTAAAGAAAAACTTAATTTAGTTGCAAACAATGTGTGGATTGAAGATGTTTAAAATAAAATGACACACTGAATAATAAGAAAAATTATAATAATAACTCTGCCATCTATAGAATTATTCAATTTAAATTTAGCAGTCCATTTTCAATAGAAAACAGCAAACGCCTCCTCTGTGCAGTGGCAGTACTTCAAACTCCTGAACCCTCATGCCAGAACTGCCACAACGCTCATCACGCAGACGGATGTCATCCCTGGAAACTATGGGTTGCTGAGGTGCAGTCCTGACCTGCTTTTCTCATTCATGGTTATGTCACAAAGCGGACATGATGGAAGCGGTGTCACCAGCCGTAATCCTAACACCCAAACAGCCCAGGCACCAAACAACCAGACGGTCCTAACATCAGTCTGATACCAGCATCCTGTCCTGTCAGCAGTGACACACCACTCTGTTAGCCAACACACAGTCTACAGACCCAACGATGCTATCGGTTTAAAACAAATGTATGTCTTATTAACTGCTAAAGTTTGTCAATCAACACTTCCACATTATTTTATGTATATTCCTGGAACAGAAAATAGAGGGCGGTGTTTCTCTCAAATTATTTTATATATATTCCTGGAACAGAAAATGCAAATATCCACAAATAGAGGGCGGTGTTTCTCACTTGGTTTTTGTTTATTATCTAATCCAAATGGATGGAATTACTTATATGGAAAAATGTCAAGAAAAAAGGAGATGCTTTCAAAACAACATCAACAACAGCAAACACAGGCTGGGAGTTGTGATATTCTGAGCTTGACGTGCCATGACATATAAACAGCATAGAAATCCGAGTCGATTTTCAGGTCATGCTTGGTTACTAAAGCTGATTCTGAGATGCCCTGCATATCTGACCCAACTGCCTCTGCACCAGTGGCCATTACTATATGGAACAACAGAGGACAATAGTTCACATGATGGCCAGCCCTGCCTGTCATGCCGGGGTCTGTTTCGGTCTGTGTGGCCCGGAGATATGCCTTCTGTCTCACAGTGGGTTTGTTGAAGCTGCTCATTCTCTATCTGTCAGCAGGCTGTGGGGCAGAGCTGGACAGAGTGTTTCATGTTTATAGCACTGAATGGTAAGAGTGAGCTGCTCACTCTGTGGAACTATAGTCAAGCCACTCCTTTACACCCCTTCTCACCACGGTATCCAAACATAAATAAATGCTATGCTATGTGTCTGTGTACATTTGTGGTATTTCTGTTTAATTGCTTGTCTTTTATTTTATAAATAAGATTTTCTGTATTTCTGTTTAATTGTCTTTTATTTTATAAATAAGATTTTGTCCCGAACTTACTTTTTTTTCCAATTAAATAAACTGATGTGGACAAAACATATTACCCGTTGGCCAGAGTTTCTTTTTCACCCAGCCTTTTGAACATTGATACTATATCGTTAATATGACAATCCTGTATTGCGGTACTGGTTTCAACCACTAGATGGCGTACTCTAGACATAATTTCTTCATGCTGTAGTCTGTAGTCGAGCCTTCTGTAATATAGAGTGGGCCACAGAGTAGAAAAGTCAGGGATGTTCTTCAGCTCATCTCTCAAATGTTTGGCCTTGGAGACAAAAAAAAAGTTCCTGCTTTACACCATGTTCAACTAAGAAAGTTGTTTTAGTAATGGTGCCATTGAATCAACATGAACTCGTAAAAAAGAAATAGATATTAAATGTAATTTGAAATCGTTGCTTTACGAGCTAAAGTATCATTTTGCATTAAATAATACATGAACAATAAATACGGCTCGGCTCCATACAACTGCAAGTAAAACTGTATATGGCTCCTATATAGCGACGTGACCGTTTCCGAGAAGACCACAAGATGGCACTGTTGCTCCATCACTGTCCCTGCGTTACCTCTGCTCTCTTGAAGACAAGATATAAGGAAAGAGAGAAGAAGAAAGACAGAGAGCAGAGACAGAAGGCCGGAGTGTACATTTTTTCCCCCCTACTCTCTCTTTATGTTAGACCCTCATCTGAGCAGGCAGCTAGGAGGCATCTAACGCACAAACACGTTCTGTCCCGACAACTCTCAAAGTTAATGACTTAACCCATTACTGCAAATTGTGCTTGGGTTTTACATTAAGCTACAGATGTAATGAATACAGTGGGCTGTTGTTCCTCAGTTGCCGTCTTGAGGTGGGACTTTAGGTAAAACACGGCCCCGAAACTGAGAGTGAGCAGAGCAGCTGGGACGGCAGTGATGATGACGATGATCTTAACGGCCTCGTCGATGTGCAGCTGCTGACACCTTCCTCTCTACCTGACCACATCACCAATAACTGGTCATTGGAATATCAGTAAGCAGCGCCGCTGACCTCAGTCGGGATGTTAAAAGTATCTTAACAGCTTTCTGAAAGATTTTCGATGCTCCACAAACTCTATAACGCTATTATCATTATCAGACAAAGTTTGATTTTTTTTTTTTTTTTGGTCCTCAAAACATCGCCTCACTATATGGAAAGGTGTTAAGGATAATAAAAATACACAAAGAAGAGCCGGCAGAGTATTAATAACAGTGATAACAACAGTAATCAAGTCACTGAGATGGGAAGGAAACGGGGGAAAAAAAAGGAGTGGACAGAGAATTTCCTGGTGGCTAAAACGTTCTCACTCCCACACACTAACAAGAATCAATAAGCAGCTTCCAACCCCTCTCTGTCTGGGCTTCTTTCATGGGCCAGTGAAGAGGTGAACGTTCAGCCTGGACAGAGTGGTGCCAGAGGTCTCAGGGAAGAGCTGGACTTTGACCCGTAACTAGCAGACGGCTCCAGGAGGAGCAGAGGAAGACTGGACAAAGACACAGTCTGACAGAAGTGTGGACGCCACTTAGTGTCCCAGCTAAGTCAAATTAAACCTGAACGTTAAACCGCCGCGTTTATGTGACTGGTAAAAACGACTGAACCTCTTTAAAAGGAGGCAGGAACTGTTCACGTGGAAACTGTCGGTGTCAGTGTGAATGGAATTCTTCAAGTACTCACACATGGGCTTGAGCTGTCCAATAAGCTCCTCTTTGGTCCACTTGGCCCACTCCTTCTTGTCCGTGTTGATGGAGCACAGGATCGGACCACATGGTTTCCCACAATCCTCAATGGCCGGAACATTCAAATAGTGGACGAGCACGATGTCAGGGTTCTGTCAGGAGAACAGAGAGGACACGAGGGTCCGTTAGGAGCACAGTGTAGTACAGTGGTTCTCAAACTATGGTACGCATACCACTGGTGGTACTCGGGCTCCCTCAAGTGGTAGGTGGTGGAATCTAAATCCAGGCAGGACGAGGTGTGTCACTGGTTTTTTTTTTTTTATATAAAGCTGAAAATCTTTTGAAGGAAAACTTTATTTTTTCGCTGTATTCTGTGCTCACCAGTGAACAGTGTAGTTCTGTGCTGCTGTATTTTAATATTGGTTTCAGTATTGAACAGTGTAGTTCTGTACTGCTGTATTTTAATATTGGTTGTACTTGTGGTACTTGAAGAGACAAATATTTTTACAGCTGCTTCGCTGTGTACAAAGATCCAGAACCACTGGATTGCAGCTATCGTGTGTGTAGTCACAGGTTAAAAAAGCACATATACATATATATTTATATATATATATATATAAAATAAAAAAGCGTCAGTGACACTTTGATACTGCGGCTCAGCTGTGAGGCTCTTATGTGCTACATGCCAGCTGGTTTGTGAGAGGCAGAATATTGTTGAAACAATGTGTGGAAACCCACACACAGAAACTGAGCTGGAGAAAAGAAGAGGCAATGACACAACACAGCAGACGAGATAAAGGGCCAAAAAAAAAAAAAAAAAACTTCTCTCTTCACGGCCTCGTCTTTTACAGTGTTTTTTTTTTTTTTTTTACTGTAAACCCATACAAGTGGTACTATCACGTACGTACAGTACACATGGAATGCACTTTGCAAAAACTTTTCATGTCAGCAGTTTGGTACTGTCTCTGTGTTCAGTCACTGGGCGACTGACGGCTTATGGATAACAGGTAGCATTAGCCATATGCTACAGGTAATGTGCTACAGGTAATGTGGTAATGTAAATCTACAAATCCCAATGTAAACATACGGTGTTTAAAAGTAAATCTCAACACATACTTGTAATTTTTATAAAATATTTTTTTCTCTCTGTTGTACATTTATTTTTAAGTCTAAGTGAGTAACAGAAAATCAACAGTCAAAATCCTTTTATTGGCTTTTCACACTTGACTAATATTGACTAAGTGGTGAATGTTCTTTTCTAGTCCTGATCTCCACTCAAAGTGCTTTACACTGACATATGTCCTCCTGGAATCAAACCCACAACCCTAATTAAAATCCAGAATTCATAAAAATCCAGAGTTACTGTGCATTACGTTGTTAATGTTAGACACAAAAAGCACCAAATCCAACGCAGGTATAAACAGATTAATATACAATTAAAATGATGATCTGATTAAGTAATTAAACTTTATCAAACAAACACACCCACACACACACATGCTCAGACTTAACACTAAACAAGACACGAGATTCAGCAAACCAACAAAGTCCTTGATGGAGAAAAATGTCGTAACAACGTGTGTGCTACTGCAGTTTGAAGCTTCATCAGTACTAAGTGGCAAATAAATCAAGGTGCTGCTACTGTAGGTCTGTGCTCCCTCTCAGTGAGTACCATTAATCTGTGAGAACCCTCACATCCCACTCCCTTCTCTCCCCTTCCCTTCAGTCAGACAGGGGTGTGGTTGAGGAAGAAAACAACAACAACAAAACAAAACATCAGAATAAACAACTACTTATGTGAAATGACAACTTCTATAATCTCTGATGTGTATGTGCAGTCCCACAAAGCTCCAGCAGGGGAGCAGGAACAAGAGTGTCAAGTCTTATTTAGCAGCAGAATCAACAGTTTAAAGTACTGTTTTTACAGTGATTTAAATACTAGAGCTGCAGTAGCCCGGGTACAGACACCAGAGCTAACGTTAGCTACAATAGACTTGGTACAGACACCAGAGCTAACGTTAGCTACAAAAGTATAACAATGGTGTTGCCAAAGTACATGACACTCAAGGTGTATAATACTGAATATTGTATTTATTTATTGCTATTAATCAGTGACAAGGCATCTGATTATTGTGATTTTTAAAAAAAATAATGCCCCTACCCTCATTGAAGCACACTAAGACTAAATTCACTATTTTTTAAATAATGCCCCTACCCTCGTTGAAGCACACTAAGACTAAATTCACTAAAGTGAAAGACTGTTGTGGTCTCTGGAGGACAGATGGACTCCTCCACCATTTGTGGTAAGGCTGGACATTTCAGTGTGTTCCCTCTCTGTTTTCCCTGTCCTCTGTCATTGGTACGGACACCAGGGCTACGACTGCTGCACTGTTAGGATGGAGATGGCAACGGGGCTGTGTGTGTGATGCACCCAGATGGCAGCACCAGCTGGGTCAACAGCCAGGAGGCGCTCTCAATCTTTACGCGGTACGAGACGCAAACGTAGAAGGCTCCAGTCAATCATGCAGCTACGTACATATGTGCAGACGTATGGATGCAACATACAAATGTCGTGTTCACACATGAATGGATACACATACATAAACACAAACAAACAAACAAACAGACGCACCCGGGCGGTGGGCGAGGACAAACTCATTAACATAACAGACACATACACAGGGAAACGACACTGAAGGCTTAGCTGAACATAATAATCCACACGGCTACAAACAATCCCTTCCTTCTAACACCTACACTCGCAGCTGGTTGTAACCTTTTCGCAAATAGCTGCAGAAATATGAAAACACATTTGCTCCATGAACTAAAGAAAAGACCAGCAGGTGCAAATGTAATCTGCGTATCGTTGTTATGCTATTAGAAAAATGCCGGCTGTTTCAACCGAGGAGTTAAATGCATCACACATGAGAAATATATATTTAATTTTTTTTACTGCTGTTTGATTAGGTGCCATGCATAAGTAGGTGCTGTGTCACACTTACTGGACTGCAAAAAAAAAAAATCCATGGTGCACAGCCACTCAAAATTGTCGCAAAAAGTATATAAAACAGTATAAGTATAAGTATAAAAATCTTATTGTTTCAATTTTTCACTATTTCCTGACTGAACCCGTTTAGTTGAACACAACATGACTCATTGATATTCCAGGAATTGAAAAGAGACAAACGGAACGGTCTTCTTCAATAGCTCTGCCTGGCTTTTTTATTTAGTTTTTATCTACTCCCACCTGCTGGAGCAGTATTTAGTACCATCACTAAAGGAATAAAGACATTTCTTTTAGCAGTAAACAAATAATAGTTTTTAGAAAAAATATTCTAATCTACCTGTAGAGGGACTGAAGTACCTGGAAAAATCACACAAGTAAATGATTTTTCTTCTAGATCTACTGCCACCTGCTGGAGCAGTATTTAGTACCATCACTAAAGGAATAAAGACATTTCTTTTAGCAGTAAACAAATAATAGTTTTTAGAAAAAATATTCTAATCTACCTGTAGAGTGACTGAAGTGCCAGGAAAAAAATTACACAAGTAAATGATTTTTCTTCTAGATGCAGGACCAGAACTCTAACCACTCTTCAACCCTTTTGCCAAACACGTCTAGTCTTTTACTACTGTAGTTTAAATATACTGTCTTTTTTGTAAGACTACACTGTACCTTTAAAACAACTTGTGTTGGATCACTGCTCAAAAAAACAAAAAAAAAAACAAAACAATTTAGCGGCTGACACAAAAAAATTCTCAGGCAACAGGGGTGTGTCATCAATCAGCTGCAGCTGGCGTGGTCTATGCCCTGTAGACGCCATATGTGTGCATAGAAGATAGAGTCTATAAATAAATACACAGCAGCTTGTCTGTCATATTTTTTCTAAGTACGTGAAATGAAAACTCGCAGGTTGAGGCCTCGGTGGTAGCACGTCTGCAGCTAACCGGCATTTTAATGTTACTGTGTTGTGTTAATGTTTGCTGTGCCTCCCTAGAACAGATGGATGGATGTTTAGCTAATTACTAGCAGAGTCTTGGGAAGTCAGCCACGGGGGCAAAAGGCCTGCTGAGTGGGTGGTGGAGTGCCGTCCTACCCCCCCTCCTCTCCCTCCTTTCACCACTCCCTCACAAACACAAAACTCAAACAAAGCTGGATATGAATTTTACACACACACACACACACACCTGGGCACAAGCGCAAGGTCAGTGCACAAGACTGACATGGAAAAGTCAGTGCACCAAAACTCACACATGCATACACCATATCCAAGACATCGCCATCGCAACCAGAGGATAAAGGTGCTGTTGTAGCCAGGCAACAGGTTTCTCTGGCACCCACGCACCGGAGAGCGAGCCAGTGATTTGTATGATCTCTCAGTGAATGCCTACCTCGTCCTGAAGTCGTACGTTTTGTCTGACTCCAAAAGACAAGAACTGAAGGGAAGAGAAAGAGCCTTGCTAATGGAGCTGAAGACACAGGGGGAGTAAGACGTCAGAGGGAGACGGAGACAGTGACCTTCAACATTTTGTGTTAAGTGCGAGGCGGTGAATATGTAGTCGATATCCAGTCCCGGCGGAGATATAACTAAGTACACCTGAGTGAGAAAGAAGGTTTTATACAAAGAGTCAGGTAGGAACTGTCAAGTTACTGTACGTGGCCTCCGCCCGCTAAAGTCTCTTTGATTGTCTTACACAAGCGGACATCGCTCCAACATCTCACTGTAGCTCATTAAAAGACGGGGAGGATACGAAGGAGCTCAGAAACAGCAGAGAAGAGTCTGGGACATGTTGGCAAATGAGAGTTACAGCTCCTCCGCTGTCAGACAGGTGACTGTGCTCCGTGACTGTACTTGACAACAGTGAGCCTGGTTTTCACAACCCAGGCACAAGTACGATAAGAAGAGCACCATTCACATGAAAGGATCTTAATTGAGAGGGGAAGAGACGGAGAAGGAAGTGGGTGGGGGAGAGAAGGGGAAGCTGGGGGGAGGGGGGCGTTGGTATAGTATATGACAGATAAAACAATCCCCACCGAGTAAGGCGGGGGGGGGCTTCAAAGACTTTATCAGAAAAAAAACACAAGACAGACAGGGGTTCAGGTACAGGGAATTCTCTCTCTTTTTTTCTATTTTTCTTTACTTGTTGAACT